GCTTTAAAATTATGATATTATATGTGATGAAAGTTTTTCAAATTTTTCAAAATTTAACAATAATTTAAATGTACATAAAAAACAAAATTATGCTTAAAAGAGATTCATTAAATAAAATATGTGATAGAAATCAAAAGTAATTGATCTATCAGTATATATTTATATTGCTTTTTTTTTTTTTTTTACTTTCTGTTTTGTACATTAAGAGGATCTTTTTTGCATACTTCAGGTTTGACCAGACCCAAAATGCAAGGATGAGGCCTGACATATTCAGGACACTACTCCCAAAAATTCCAAAGATTTTTCAAACAATCAATTCCATCTCCGCCCCAGAGCAGTAGACTAATGTTTTAACTGCCTTGGTCATTCAGCTGACAAACTATCAGTTTTGGTAAAATTGCTATTTAATTAATTAAATTTACTTTACTGTTATAAAGAAACAATTATCTACAGAAGGAATAAAACTGCTTGTTTGGAGTTTAAAAACATTTAATATTGATGATCGTGTGCTTTCAAGAAACCAATGTTTATCTTCAGGAATGCTACACTGCTTGTTTGAAAGTGCTAATATTAAGTGCATTTAAAGTGTACTAGAATGAAATTTATTTTTTAATTACATCTGTGAAAAGCAAACTTAATTATCTAAAGGACATGAATGACATTTATTGAAGACAATAGTGTTCTGTAAATAAATGCTTTCATCTATATTGATTAAAACCAAAATTATATATTCAGAGATTAGAAATAATATAATTTGACTCAAATTCTTTTATTAAATAAAAATTTACTTTCTAGCAATTAATTAATAATGTTTTATTTTTGTTCTAGGTGAATTATGAATGTTTTGGAGACAAATTACATACAGGATCTTAAACATTAGTTACATAAGATCTTGTATATCCAGATCTGAATTAATCAAATTTTAAATAAAAACTAATATGACTCTTGTCTTCGATGCAAATTTTTTCATTTATTTATAGTAGTGAATAAACTCACAATAAACTGTATTTTGGAAAATGATAAACACTTTCCAAAATACAATCTGTTCTAGCAAGGAACCACAAAGATTATAATTATTCTCTATGTAGTCAGTCATTAGAAATATTAACAGCAAACTATTTCACTTGGGCATGACATATTAAGAATTCCTAAATAACAAAAGACATTTAGACTCCAGAATTCTATTGAGTAACATTTATTGTGATATGATAAAAAGAACTAATTTTGTTGATACATTTCTATAGAAGTAGACACTTCCTGAATTTCTGACTTTAGACTTCCTCCTTTTTTTTTTTAGATTAGCATTTCCTTTATTAATATTGAGTTAATATTATGGTATCTTTATGCTTATGTACTCTGTTATATAATAGTCAAATCTCAATATTATTGCTATTCATAACAATCTTTATGTTTAAACTGATACTTTATAAATGCACTTCTAAAAAGATTGGTCTTTGTCATTTGTAAGTTTTCTAAATATTGTGTGTTTTCTTTTTTTTTAACATAATTCTTCTCTTATCAAACATGTTTTAGGCTTGTGTAACATTGAATTAATGTATTGATACAGTTGCCTGATTCATCTGTCTTGTCATTCATTCACAAAAACTTAGCTAATTAGCTAATAACTGCTATTTTCCTTATGTATTTGAATTGTTACAATTATTTCTTTTTTATTAATCAAAACATACCTTTATTATTCTTAGAAAAAAATTTAATAAGTTCTACTAATAACCTAGCTAAACCCTTTCAAACTCCTTTACGTAAGATATTTATACAGAAAATATTTACTTCTGATTTTAATCTCTACATTACATGATCTGTTTTACTAGAAATCAGTTTCCGTGTCTCATCCTAAAGTAATAAATATATATTTTTGAGCAGAAAATTAAATTATGGAGTAGAATATACGTTGGAATTCTAAATCACAAAAGTGATTGCTAAAGAGAATACAACACACAGAGAAAATTCAATTTTTCTGGAAACTTTTAGAGAAACCTAAAAAGTGTCTGAATGAAATAGTAGTTATAAAAAATTCAAACAGTAATTAGAAAACTTAGAAATGATAATAATAAAGACCAATTTTTTTTATCCCAGAAATGTATTTATAAAATATCAATTTTAGTAATATTAGAGTAACTGCAAGGTAACTAAGTGCATATGAGAATATAAACAAACAATAACATTAAATAAAGATATGAAATTGACAGAAGAAGCACTTAACACAGATACAGAAGTAAAACAGGACAAAGTAAAAGTAAAGAGATCTATTAAAATGATAGCATTAAAACGATAGTTTATCTAGGTTTATAAAAAAAAAGCTGCCGTTAATATTAAAAATCCAGTAATTCTCCTGTTTTTAGAAAATGATTTATCGACAAAATCGAATCTCCAATGATTCAAAACAACTGAAAATGAATGAAATCAAGGATCTGTTATTTAAAAATACAAAGTCATACATTGTAAATGTAAAGTTTCCTAGTATTATTTATAACAAATTATTTTCTTTATTTGACTATTTGTAATGACTAGAGACATTCATTATCTTATGTAACCTAATTTTGTTTAAAGATAAAAAAATATTCCTCTTTCAAAAACTTTTCAACAATACATTTTTGTTTTTAGGCATTGTAGCATTTCTACACTTTGATTACAAATTTATTTCCTTATTATATAAAATTTTTAACATAAAAAATTATAGACTTCTCTTTAATATTTAATGACTTTGTATTGTTCGTATAAACGAAGGTAAAAATACATTTAAAAGAAGTTAATGCTTATCTAATTTTTAATTAATAAACTATGATAAAGTATATATACTAAATTTTTTCTATTGCATCTGTTAAATTAAATTAATATACAATGCATCATTTAGTATCTTTCTAATCATTTCTAATTATCTTATTGATTTTTCACTTTCTCATACATACAAGTTTTACAAATTATAGTTGCTAGGGTGTTTCGGACAATCATCATTATGGATCATTAACTTTTTTAATGCTAACATAACTTCTTGCTTTCCTACCATGAATGGTAAATACCAACCCTTCCCATTACAAAAGTCATGTTTTATATATTCTCCATATTATGAATTTACAGAAAAAAAGTATATAATTCCACTTTAAAGCATAATTTTCAATTGTATTAACCAATTAGTTCTGATAGTGATGTGATGAAATCTAACAAATGTTAATAAAATGAAAGTATTTTCTTTAACTAATCTTTTAATGAACTTATGACAAATCAAACATGATGATAATTTACAATAAAAATAAAACTTTTATGACTTTTAAATTTAAATATAATAAATAAATATCCTCAAATTTTGGTTAGATTAGATCTAAACAAACAACCAAGCTTGATTTTATGATAAAGTAACGATATTCGGCTATGTTTTGGACCGATAAAAATTAACTTCTATTTTATCAAATAGAAATTTTGATTATTCCTAGAAGATAATATATATTATATAATTTTTAAATTACATTTACTCAAGAATAATAAGAAAAAATTAATCTGTAAAAAATAATGTAGAATAAATTGAAAAGTGCTAGTGCAACAAGGAAGTTTACAAATTCCATTAATTAAAACCACCACCGTGCAGTATTATCTGTAAATTTACTGCGTACAAATTGAAACGAGTTAGTGAAGAAGTGAATTCTATTATTTTGCTAAATGATACTTTTCAATGTATTTGGTTTTCTAGCAATCTATCAGACACTTTTGCAAATATTTATTAAATTGGTTTTATTATAAGTTATTGATGTAACTTAATAAATTTACAACTCTACATCTATAATAAACTGCATAGTTTCGCGTCTAAATAACTGATTTGTGTTTACGAATGCCACAGACAAAACATTTACAATTGTTATAAAGTAAATATTACTTATGCTATAATTTATTTCTTAATAAATATTAAGATTTGAAATATTTACCTTTATATATTATGTTAAATTCATGAAGTCTATATGTGACAGATTGAAATTATTGAAAATTAATAGCTAATATAATCTAAATTCATCTTTTTTTTAAGGCCTTAATCTTAATAAAATCATATCCAAAGTATTTAGTAGTAGTTCAAAATATAAAATTAAGAGATAATTAATATAATTACATCACTGATCTTTAAAAAAACATACTAAAAATGTATAAAATAGAATACAACTATAAATTTTGTATTTAAAAACAGGAAATAAGATGAATTATCATGTATTTTATTTAGCAATATTCCTCGTTTCCAATTTATACTTAAAAGTACATATTTACACTTCTACGTAATAGAATGAACAGTTAATATACGAAAGGCCGAAGCGTAATAAGTAACGTGTTCAATTAATCAAGAAAAATGTTAAAAAATCGAAACGATATCGGAAATATTAAGCTTATAAACTCCGGAAACAAGCTATTTTTTAAAAAATCAACACTTATAGGCTAATTTACACATATTTTACTACCAGTTAACACTTTACAGGAAGCGCAACTACTACATAACAAAAATCATATCGTCCCGATAAGAAAAACATCAAAAAAAGACGATAAAAAAAAGCAACAATACGACAGAATAAAACTGCATCCTTTACAACTGGGTCAAATTCAATCTGTTTACTTCATTTCATTCAAGTTAGAAGAATAAATGCCTAGTCTAGAAAAAAAAAGTTGACAAATTAACCTAGTTTATATTGTTTCTGATAAGTTTAAAACAAATGAATTCATTAAAAATAACTTATTTAATCTATTTCTAAGCATGGTTTGAATATAAAAATGACGTAAGGAGAAAGTGAAGCGCGCGTGGACCACGTGACGAAGCTTAATAACCAATTAAATCGAAGTTTTTAATTGATGTCTTGATTCAATTAACTCGCTTATGTTTATAAACATTGGGTAAAACCGACGGGGAAGCGTTATATGGATTATTATATAAGAAATAATTGAAGACGTGTAAGAGTAGATTGATCTTAACGTGTTTACGACTCGTTAATGTTTGTAAACAATTGAATTACCTGAACTTTCTTTCTGGTCCCATGTCCACTGGTCTGACGGTGGTGCGTCGCCATGTTGGTTGCCGATGGATAGCGATGGTTATTTTCATCACATTTACAACCAACCGATTCGAATATTGCCATTCGCAGTTGTCATTCATGCACTTGACGGGCTTCCGATCATAAATTCCACCACATTTGTTGTTTGTTTTCGTTACAAACGTTTAAAAAAAAAAAAAAATAATCCTAACTCCCTCTCCTCGGCGAGTGATTTTTGACCGAAGGAGACTTCGGGAGCGAGATTAGCGCCATGTCATGTGATTTTTTGGATTTAAAAATTTTATTTATTTTATTTTATTTTTAATGTTTAAATGTAATATTATTAAATTTTATTCGTAATTTGATTAAGATATATATTAATTTAATACTTATAACCGATAAATTAAGTTTTTAATATTTTAAAACGTATGTGACGTATTTTTTTATTTTATTAATATAACGACGTTTATTGAAACTCGTACATATTTTTTCGTGTTTATTTTTGAAATTTAATAATTATGACGTAAAATGTAAAATGTTCTTACTTAAATATTATGGAAATAAATATGTCAATGTTTTGATTTTGTTAACGAAGATGTTTACAGCGCCAATATGCTATAGTAGTGGGAGCTAGAACTAATTATGTAAGCGGGAAATTGTTAAAATAGAAACCGTTAATAATATATAGAAAGAATATTTTTATTAGAAATTCGCCAAACCGGCACCCGAAATGTTCGGTAATGCAGCATTCTTTAAAATGTAGCTGATAATCCGAAATGCCAATATTCCACGAATCGGAATTTGAGCACGTGGTGCCGCTCACGTTGCTAGATATCGGGAAATTGATCATGATTGTAATTGAGAAAAATTACTCATTTTGCTTTAGCTTCTTTGAGTCTGGTCGAATGCTTTCCTTTGTGCATTTCTGTGCCTAATACGTGTTTATCCATAATCGCCACAATGGTGCAAACAGGCCACAGAACAATGCGAAGACAATGCACCTAATAACTAGTTTCTCAATACTTGGAGCATGTGTATAGTACCTTTTGTGAATCGTACGTAGGAGAAAATTGTATCTTGAACATACCAGTGTCGGATTGGGTCAAAAAATATTGGTTGTCAGGAGACACAAGATATCTTATATTGGAATTGAGTACAGATAGTGTGCAGATGACATTTTAAAATTTATAAAAGTTATTATATGCCTTGTCATAAAGTCTATTGGATACCAGAATCTTTAGTACATATGATGATCAAGTGCTACAAATTTTTACACCTGTTACAATTAAAATCCATATTCTCAACATCATTAATTTTTTGATTCTTTCGTGGTGCAATTTTATTTATTAATATTCAAACGTCGTTATATAAAATATAATCACATATATTTATTTACGTTCATTTTTTGAATAAATCATCTACTAACTTGGAATATTTTTTATCATTTTTACATCGAAATATTTTAAAAGTTTAAAAGTTTATTAATTGATGTCGAATACAATTAATTATTTCTGCAAACAAAAAACACTTTATACATAGGCTTAGAACATTGCGTTTTATATTATTAAGATACTTGAAAATTGTTTTATATTATATTTGATTTATTAAAATATTTATACTTTTTTCAGGAACCTCCAAAATGTTTGGACGTTGTGATGCAGATTCTCAGAAGAATGACATTTTTCATTTTTCCGTGCATTAAACCAAAGCATTCGTGTGATGGATAACTGAAAGAGAATTTTAATTCTTATAATGTGTTGACGTCCCCAATATTAATCGGGGTAAG